AGGACTTTGCAACAATCTACTCTCAGCTATATTACTTTATGTGCGTATTCGTTGTGGCATCATCCTGTGTAAGCATCGTCTCGATGGTCTGCCTCTGCCTACGATCAAAACGTATTGAATGCGTGCGTGCAGAAAGGAGTATGCTCACTTTGGCACTACTGAACTTCCTCGTTGAAATCAGCTATTTTACTCTCCTAGTGAGTTTTTACATCTCTTCGAATTTACAGTGGAAGAAAACTTCAGGGAAAGACTAAGGGGTAACCGTTAAAGTCAGAGGTAATGATTAGGCCAAGGAGAGTGTCCCTCCTAGAAACTCCCTCCAGAATTCCATTTTGAAATAAACTTCCTAACATCTAATATATGCGGAGGAGGTGTTGTGGCAAAAGGCGCACTAACACATGCATAGACACGAGTTCGAATTCCTATCCGCTTGCCACCAATCTTTCCATCATTCCAGGATCGGGTAATTGGGGCCAGACTCGTGTGGGAGGTTGAAAGCAACGAGTTGTACATAAGCTACCCACCGTTAGCCATTGCAAAGGACAAAGGACAGGCGCATTCAATACTATTATGAATTACACTACAATTATGAAATGTGGTGGAGTAATCCCCAAGAAGGGGACGATTAACGCCCCAAGACTTTGCCCTTTATCCTTTAACATCTGATATATCGTTTCAAGGAAGAGAAGAAGGTTAGGTTATAGGTTGAGCACGTACTTTTATATTCGCAAAGAGGCTGAAATTAACAAATATTATTCCTTAGGTGTCAACTACTACATTGCTGCTCAACCTTTTGCAGCCCTTTTGTAAGTAATACCAATTGCTCCCCGATTGACAGTATAGAACACCTTCATAGGCCGCTCCTACTGAATCCAATTGAAGTTTACATTTCAGAAACAAAAATATTCAAAGCAGACTGAATGACATCATTTCAGACAATCGTTCAAATCGATCGAGGTGGGAACTTCGAAAAGAATGCCAGATATACCATAATACCGTTTATATCGGATTTAATGACATTCTCGATGCCATATTTGATACTCGTTCTCAACAAAAGCGTTCGAACGCGATTGCTCCGTCCTTTCAAACGTCAGGAAGCAATATTTCCCATCAGAGGATTCAAGGCCACTGACAGGAACCATATGATTTCTTTGGTTTCGTCTTCAATGCGATGATGGATGTATGATTATTCGATGAGGTTAGTTTTTATCGGATCCTCACGTAAATCTGACGGTAAGGTGAAAGATTTTGAGAGATCCGATATCAGTTTCTTTACAGATTCTCATAGGAAAGCAGATAGGAACGGTGCGTGGCCACCTGCATCTTATAACATTTTTGAGAAGCTCCATTGCTACTGCTATTCAGCAATTCATGGGACCAAAAATTCTCGTAGAGCTTTAGCTTCGATCTGCTCACAGCGTACAGAAATTCTTAGCTACATATCTCTTAGTGAGCCAAGTCCTAGTTGGTTGCCCTAGCTGGTCGTCCCTCTCCATGGCATGTCCATCTGTTCAAAACAGATTGAATTTATCACTCTCAGAAACATTCAGATCTCCCTACGACTTTAATTCTACACTTGGACTTGGAGAGGCATAGTCATTACCTGCTGCTCTAATCATACTCATGGGATTTAATAATGGACGTACTTCTTCGTGATTTTGACGAGTTCAGTCGAACTCACTAATTGCAGCCGACAAAAGACAAAAGATTAAACATTTTATCTTGGCTACGGATAAGCTGCAACCATTTTTCTTGAGCTACAACTTTAAAATTCGTGCTGATGAGAACTTTGCAAAAAGGGTTTCGTTTCTGTACTTTCGTTCATTCTTCTATCCATTTTATGATGCGAATGCCGTGTTTGTAAACATATCTTATCACTGTTCGTGGACGCGTCTTACGTGTAAATAAACAAATAAATAAACCAGTCTCTGTGTAGTTGTTAGTGTATATAGCTTATGTTCGGAGGATGCTGAGATGTCGAGAGTGGCGAACCCTCATCCCGTCTCTTTTTTGAAACGAAGTGAACTGCGACTGATTGTCCGACCTTCCGGACCGGATTAGACTTCAAGCAGTCAGCCCTTTTTTGGAGAATGGTGAGATTTGTTGAGCCACCCAAACATTGAGTTCTGTGAACAACTGGATAAGAGGAAAGCTCAAAATCAATCCGATAAAATATCGAGATTACCGCATTTATTCTATTCACTTCAATGACAAAACTTGGCTATAATTTGATGATGACGTACAAGGATGGGGGAAAGAATCATTGCTTGTTAATACTCGCAAAGTTTCTATGATATTTAAATTGCTGCAATTACTTAATTGCTCAATACGAATAGATTGCAGAGATAATGATGTGGGAGCAAAAAGCAGAGTTGACGACCATAATAGCTACTAGATTTAACTCAGCAAGCCGAGTCTGCTCAGCCAAAATGCATGCTGGGCCAGATGTTTTCTTCGACAACTCCAAGGGAGGGACTCTCCGGAAAGAGATACTACGTGGAAGTCTTTCAAGTGTATGCCAAAGTACATTCATGACCACATCTGCGCATTTTTGATGCAGGCTCTAAAAAAACTAGCAAATCCGAGCTAAAATAGGAGCTTGACCAGCTGGGCTCTGACTGAACAAGACGTAAACACCGGCTAACTCTAGTTCACTCGACCCAAACACTCAGAAGGTATAACTGTTTTGTCTTCTTCGTCATTCTAATACAGTACCCACTGGAGTAAATCATGGCAGTTGAAAGTGATGGACCAGTTTGTCACATCGAACTTCCCTAACTTCCATCTGTACTGTCACGGGGGGCATTGATGAGCATAGTGTGTTAGGCAAGAGCCAATAATCTTGAAATCAGTTTTAGGAATGTTCGAGAACAGATAGATGTGATGTTCATGCCAGCTTGGGGTCTGAGTCGTTGATGCTTAGCCGATTTCGATGATTCTACTTGTTTTCCACTATCAGTGCAATAGCTCGTGCCAGACACAATCACATCTGTTTGCAGATCTTCCTCCCCTTATCAGCTATCCCATATAGAGACAGACAGACAGACACAGACAGACATCTTTAATTGTAAAAACTTCCTCTGACTATATGACTAGAACTCTCAAATTCAAACATCTAGCGCTCCTTCCAACATTATTAGGCTGAAAAACTAGTTCTCCTATCGTTTGCACCAGAAATCTCGAATAATACTGTTGCGAAGCTCTCTAAGAAAACTGCAGTGCCGCTACCTGAAAGAGATGACCATCTTTTATATTCGGCTTGGTTACTGTATTCCGTCAATCGTCCTCTATGTCGTGGTCATTTATGCTGTATCCAAGGAGAAACAGCGACTGTTTGGTTCCTTCTATTCGTTACTGATCATTCAAGCAGTTACGGTAAGAAACGTCTCAGAATTCAAATGCTACCAACATCTGTCAGACTTCAGAATCAATCTTTTTGCTTCCAGAACTTGCTCGTCTATGTTAACAGCTTCTATGTCCTGCAGTTAGCTAACGAAACAGAAAAGGACAGTTGGTGGGCTGTCATATACACCAAAGCACCCCAGGCTTTGATTCGTGTAGTGAGTTGGTATTTCTTGCAAACCAGTATGAAGTAGAAATAAAAAAAAACAAAGCAAAATATAAAAACACCATAAAGGAAGCTACAGTTTCCCCTCTGGCTGAGGATGTATTCAAATGAAGCAAACGATAAATTAAGGCAAAATATAATAGAATTCTCACAAGAATGGCGATTTGTGGGCAAAACTCCAGTCTCGGACGGGACTCGAACCCGTACTTGTCCTTTCCGGGGACCGTGCTCTTATCCTTTACACTACCGAGACCATAATAGAATTATGGCAAAAATTTCAGACATCATGGTTAGGGATGCATTTCGCTTTTGTACAGACATATATGACATTTTTTATCTCACTCAATCGAATGGCTGCCATTGTCTGGCCAAGGATGGACGATCGGGTAAGACCGCATTGCATTCGGCATTTGGTATTGTCAATAGTAAACTGAATATGATGAAAAAAGTAAGCAGTAGCGAGAAGCGAGAAGAAAGAAAGTTGAAACGGATTACTCACGTTCTGGTCATTTAGGACTTTATCTAGAACGTATAGAAAAAAGTGTTGTTGATGATTACAGGTTTGGAGCGCTGTTGTAGTACTGAGTACGATAATCAGCTATGTATCACCCCTTATTGTAACATATCCCTATCTCACTGAATGGGCGACATTCTTCCATAGTAACACATACGGCGGCTACGTTGCTTATTCCAAATCGGTGAGCTTTGAACTTTATAATGACACGGGGTCCTTTTTTTCAGAATCTCCTATCATTTTTCCAAGCTAAAATAGTAAAATGCTTTACCGAATCATTCCAATCAAAGTACTCGATATTATGGTACATTACACCGGTGACAGTTAGACTTTCTGCAACGGCCAGAGCTCAAATTTCGATTTTCTAGGATTTTGCAACAATGTACTCTCAACTATACATCTTTATGTGTGTATTTATTGTGGCATCTTCTTGTGTAAGCATCGTTTCCATGGTCTGCCTCTGCCTACGATCAAAACGTATCAAATGTGTCCATGCAGAACGGAGTATGCTCACTTTAGCATTGTTGAACTTCCTCGTAGAAATCAGCTATTTCACTCTCCTAGTAAGTTTTTACCTCTTTAAATAATCCTATAATGAAAAATTATGGGAAAATGGGACAACTGCAACTAAGGATCCATTCAGCTTTTGTTGGGACAGGCTCTGACAACCCCGTACTTTAGTACTTTCTTAAAATTCCGATTCTCCACATATGCCGTAGTTAAGATATGTACAGATGGATGCCGCTGCAAGTAAAAGAAATCCATTGTATCCAAGATCGTCACTTCTGAAGACCACTGGTTCTAAAACGGGCTCTCTTAATCCCTGAACCTTCTGACAGCAGGTTTTTCCATGGGTGGTCGTCTACATCAAATCTCTGAATAGATTTGAAAAGGATATTCTGAAGGAATAATGTTATTTCAGACGATTCTTCAAATCGATCGAGGTGGCGACTTTGAAAAGAGTGCTAGATTGACCTTTATACCATTTACATCGGACCTAATGACATTCTCAATGCCATATTTGATACTCTTCCTCAACAAAAGCGTTCGATCACGTTTGCTCCGTCCTTTCAAACGTCCTGGAGCCATAGTCCCGAACAGGACACTCAATATTCCTGCCAGAAATGATGTAGTTTCTTGGGTTTCATCTTCAGTGCGATGATGGATGGATGGTCGTCTGATGAGATCGATTCGAACAGAAACTCCTCCTGTAGAATCGATACTGAGAAAAAGAAACGACTTCAGTTCTAAAAGATAGTCAGATTACCACAAGGCTGTTAGTTATGTTTAGTTGTTGTATTGTTCTTCAAGTGCCCCATTGCTGCCGTTGTTCTAAGGCGGACATTCTCAGTGGATGTGTTTCATTAGGCACGAACTACTTACAGTGCAAGTGAATCCTAGCTAGTTGTCTCGTGAATGTCATGTCTTAGTTGGTTGTCCTTGCTAGTTGTCTCGCCCAATGGCGAGTTCCTAGATTTAACCGAGTTGAGCTTTATTCCACACTCACAGACGGCCTTTCAAACCCCTCGAGAGCTTAAATGAATGTTCTGAAGATGGACTTGTGTAATTGAAGAGACATAGCCAGTACCTATCACAGTAATCAACCCATGAGGACTCCATAATGGACGTACTTGTTCGTGAATTAGACGAGATCAGTCAAACTCACTAATCTGCAGCCGACAAAAACAAAGATTAGCAATCAGATCGCTGAAAGTACATCTGGTCTTGGCTTCAAATAAGCTGCAAGCCCCTCCATCCTAGTCTACAATATGTTTGAACTTTGCTGATGAGAACTCTGCTCTGAAGCTTTTATTTCTGTATTTTTACTCGTTGATCTTATAGCTCTTTTCTGCAATTTTGTTCGTTGTTCTTATAACTCTATCTATTTTGTTATGCAAACGCCGCGTTTATAAACATATCTTATGACTGCTTGTAAAGCTGTCTTACGTGTGAATAAACATATATTAGGTCGTGAAGAAAGTTCTTGCGTTTTGTGACGCCTAATTTTCAACTGCTCGCCGCGGTGTTATTTTCTAATAGATTTTTTGCAGGTTTTACACCATTCTGAAGCGCATTTTTTGCTCTATCCAAATATATAATCGGTTTTGCCCTGGAGTGATTCCTGGGGTTTTCTAGAAGGTCGAAATCAGCATGGACAAACGACAGATCCGCACGATTTTTCTTTTCCAATTCAAATTGGGCAGGAGTGCGACGGAAACGGACCGGGATATCAACGATGACTTGGACCTAGGTGCAACGAATCAACGCACAGCACAGTGGTGGTTTAAAACTTCCGTACCGGCGATGAGAGCTTGGAAGATGATGAGCGTAGTGGGCGGCCATCGGCCGTTGACAACGAACAATTGAGAGCGTTAGTGGAAGAGAATCCACGTACAACGCTGAAGGATATTAGCTCGAGATTGAGTGTTTCCAGGAGGACGGTTGGCACCCACATGCAGGAGATCGGGAAGTCGAAGAAGCTTGCTAAGTGGGTGCCGCATGAGTTGATTCAGCTCCAGAAAGACCGCCGCTTCGAGCTCGCCTCCGCCTTGCTTCTCTGCAACAGGAACGATCCATTTCTAGACCGTATTGTGACGTATGATGAGAAAAGGATTCTGTACGACAACCGGCGACGATCAGGCCAGTGGCTGGACAAGGATCAGGCCCCACGACATTTTCCCAAGCCGAAGCAGCATGGAAAGAAGGTCATGGTGCTGGTTTGGTGGTCTGCAGCCAAGCTGATCCATCACAGCTTCATGTCTCCGGATGAAAGCGTAACAGACGAGAAGTACTGTCAAGAAATTGACGAAATGCATCGAAAACTCCAGCCCATGAGCCCGGCACTGGTGAATAGGAAGGGGCCAATTCTACTCCACGACAACGCTCGGCCCCACGTCGCACAACTTACCCTGAGAAAATTGATGGAGCTAGGCTATGGAACTCTCCCGCATCCACCATATTCCCCAGACCTTGCCCCCACAGAATACCATTTCTTTAAACATCTCGACGGCTTTCTCAAGGAGAAATGCTTCAAAACCCAACATGATGCTGCCGCTGCAACCGACGATTTCATCACCTCTAGTTCTCCAGACTTCTACGCGATTGGAGTAAACTAACTTGTTTCTCGTTAGCAAAAGTGTGTCGATAGTAATGGTTCTTATTTCGATTGATGAAGTTTTGTTTAAGCCGAGATATGTACATTTGAAGTTTGAGGCGTAAAAACGCAAGAACTTTCTTCACGACCTAATAAATAAATTGAGCTCTGTGTGATTGCCTAAGCGATGAGAAGATTGAGAGCTTGACCCCGGCTGAAATCTTATTCCTGTGTCCCAAGTTCGGCAAGAATTTTGAACGCTGACTTTGTCGGATCTCGATGCGGACAAAACATCTACCAGAAAGTCAACCTCTGAGGGTACGATTTGTTAAAACAGATAAACATTGAGCTCAGCAAGCAAATGGACAGGGAAAAGGCGAGAAGTCCATTCAGGAATGTTGAGCGAGTTTACTCATTTTTTTTTTCCAACCCTGCTAATCTTCTGATTCATCCCCAGGGCATGGCCATTACTGGATGATGTAACCCGGAGGCATGAATCACAGCCCGTTGTTAATGTTTGTGATATTTCTGTGATTTTGTAATTGCTACAATTTCTTAATTATTCATAACGAGTAGATTGCATGAGATAATGATGAGAGACCAGAAGCGACACGACAGACCATTCTGCCTATTAGCAGACAAAATTCTATTCAACTAGCTCAAGTTCAGTCAGCTGGAACAGCTTTTTTCTCCTTGACCAATTCAAAGGAAGACTGTTCCGGGCAGGGAAGACCTCCTAAAGATTTTTCAGTGATTTTTCATCACTACTGAGAATTTTCTTGCTACTACTATTCGGGTTTCAAATTAAAATGAGATGAAGATAAAGAACTCCCGGTTTAGGTCCTTGCCAGGAATCAAGCCCAAGAACATCAATTGCTCAACAACACCAGTTACCAAAACTCTCTTTGAAAATTTTAGTGCCGCCATTCAATCGTGATGATCATCTTCTTTTATATTCGACTAGCCTACTGTATTCCGTCAATCATCCTGTATATCGTGGTCATTTATGCGATATCCAAAGAAAAACAGCGACTTTTTGGCTCCTTCTACTCGTTGCTGGTCATTCAAGCAGTTACTGTAAGAAGCGTCTCGGAATTTGAATGCAACCAACATCCTTCAGACTTCTGAATCATTCCTTTTTACTTTAAGAACTTGCTCGTCTATGTTAACAGCTTTTACTTTCTACAATTAGCAAACGAGACAGAAGACTATAGATGGTGGGCTGTCATCTACACTAAAGCACCCCAGGCTCTGATGCGTATAGTGAGTTACCACAGTGAAGTTAATGATAGCACATGACAAATGAATCATGGTAACAATTTCAGACGTCATGGTTAGGGATGCATTTCGCTTTTGTACAAACATATATAACATTTTTCATCTCGCTCAATAGAATGGCGGCCATTGTCTGGCCAAGGATGGACGATCGGGTGAGATCGCTTTGTATTCGGCATTTGGTATTGCCAATGATTAATCGTAAGAAGAAATGAAAGTAGAAAATGTAGCCAGTTATCTGAAAAATCGCTTAGAAAGTTGAAAACAAAATTCATTCAAGTTGGCCTTTCAGAACTTTTTCCAGAACTTATAGGAAAACAGATTGATGTGATTACAGATTTGGAGCGCTGTTGTAGTACTGAGTACGGTGATCAGCTATGTATCACCCCTTATTGCTACATATCCCTATCTCACTGAGGAAGCTTCATTCGTCTACAGTAAGACACTCGAAGGCTTCGTTGCTTTTTCGGATTCGGTAAGCTTTGATCTAAGATATACGAGCTTCTTTTTTGCAATTATTCTTGCAAACCAGACTAGCAAAATGCTTGGCAGTGTTATTCCCATCTAAATACTTGATGTGATTGTACGGCGGTTACAGTTAGACTTTCTACAGCCATCGACCACAGCTCAAGTTTGGGAATTGCAGGATTTTGCTACAATCTACTCTCAATTATACATCTTTATGTGTGTATTTATTGTGGCCTCTTCCTGTGTAAGCATCGTTTCCATGGTCTGCCTCTGTTTACGATCAAAACGTATCAAATGTGTACGGGCAGAGCGGAGTATGCTAACCTTGGCCTTGCTGAACTTCCTCGTAGAAATCAGCTACTTTACTCTCCTGGTAAGTTTACATCCCCTTAAATATACAGCAAGTGGAAGATTTTGGGAGAACAACAGCCTGAACATTGCTTTCTGATAGTATAGTCCATCATTCATAACTCTTTCTGCATCAAATCTCGAAACAAGCTAAAAAACGTTTTCTAAATAAATGACGTTATTTCAGACAATTCTCCAAATCGACCGAGGTGGAGACTTCGAAAAGAATGCTCGATTGACGTTGATACCGTTTACCTCGGACCTAATGACCTTTTCGATGCCATATTTGGTCCTCTTTCTCAACAAAAGCGTTCGAACACGTCTGCTCCGTCCTTTCAAACGCCAGGACGCAGTTGTTCCTAATAGAGGACTCAATACTCCTGCCAAAAATAATACAACTTCTTGGGTATCGTCTTCAGTGCGATCATGAATGAATGGTCTTCTAATAAAGTTTTTTTGAACAGTTCTTCGTGTCAGATCAGGTACTAAAAATTGTAAAAGCTTCAGTTGTGAGAAATAATTGGATTATCACAAGTCTGAAAGTTAAACTGAATTGTTGTACTGCCACAATTTATTCACACTCACACCGTTTTTCCGGCACCTAGCGGCCAAACTCACACATGGGACCAAGAAGGTGTCTAAAGGGCCAGAGTTCAGACGATTACGTAGCAATAGACTCGACGCCTAGTCTTTCTCATGCTAGATTGACCTTTATACCGTTTACATCGGATCTAATGACATTTTCAATGCCATATTTGACACTCGTTCTCAACAAAAATGTCGAACACGTCTGCTCCGTCCTTTCAAACGTCCTGGAGCCGTAGCCCCGAATAGGAACTCAATATGTACAGATGGATGCCGCTGCAAGTAAAAGAAATCCATTGTATCCAAGATCGTCACTTCTGAAGACCACT